TTGTCGTCTAGCCACTATCTTAAAACGTGTCAACTCGAGAAACTTGGCTGCCTAGATGGCTCGACACATCTATGGGAAGCAAAATGCCCCCGTCGACAAACTGCGCCCATGCTTGGTGTCTATTCTCACAGCTTTGATTCGATCACTGATCTCTATTTAGAGAAAAGACGTAGTTCTTGTGCAATTCTGCTATCGCAACGGCAAACCTTTCTGTCGTGGAGTCTCCTCCATTTGAGTTTGAATTTATCTCGCGCAGGCCCTTGATAACTGTACCTGGCAAGTTCCCTGTGGAGGATAGGACCTAGATAGTTCTTGCCGGCTCTTGATGTTCGACAACTAGAGTTATTCCTGTAACTGAGGGACCGTCGGATGTTGAAAACCTTTCAAACTTCCCGTAAAGCGACCTCGTGTTCAGGGTTCCAATTCGAACTAGCTTCTTTGGCTGAGGTCCACGTCACCCCTCTGTAGCCCTCACATACTGCCTACGAAACTTAGTCGCATTTTCCGGGTTTTATTTCGGCGTGGAACGCTACTTAGTCATTATCATATTCTGTTGTGACACGATTCGATTGTTGTGACGGGGTTCTTCATCAACCGACCTGTCAGGCTGGGCCTGACACTAAATCGTGGCTCAGGGAGCAGACATTGAGACAACACTTTTACATCGTTGATCCCTGCACGGATCTCGATGATAACAGTAAAAGAAAACGAAAACGCCGATTTGTTTGAAAGTCGGTACAAACTATGGCTGCATTAGAACTTGCCACTTATAATTGCCGCAGCGCCTTCGTAACTTACTGACAAGCAGCGAAAACGGTGTAGTCCCTCATATTGAGGATCAGACTACCTATACAGGTAAGGACGCTTAGGCTTAGCGAACTACTGCTGAACTGTCTTTAAGCGATTATGTGCCATGGGATATTTGTTGTAAGTGTATACCACTGCTGCCCTCGCCGAAAAAGGAGCAGAACATCAAGTAGCAATGCATAAGTTTGCTTCCGTTTTTCTCTCAAGCTTAATGGACGTGGAATACTTTGTTGTTTTGGACTCTTACAGGGAGGATGACACGTTTCTGTAGGTCACTACATGCTACTGATTCCGTAACCTGCTCTTTACCTTGCTCGTTCTTCTTTCCATTGCGTCTGGATTGGGCCGAGTCTGAATTAATTTCAGATAGTGGTTTCTTGTAAGAAAGCCAACTAGGAAAGTCTCGCCGACCAAAGACAAAAGCGAAAGAGTGGAACAAGATAAGAGAAACGGCCGCAAAACCGGACTCTTCATGCGACGTGTAATTTGAACTCGCACGTATGATTCTCACCTCGGCTACGGACAAAGGCGCGCGCTACACGTCTACTCGCTGCTGTACGGTTGGGCCCAGCACGTGAGCCAGAGGAGTGTGTCACCTCTTTGAGCTTGTTCTATGCTTCTTGTGTGAAACGGGGCATGCGACAAAAACATCAGAGAAACAAAGTAACCACGAAGCGGTAATGCATACCAGTATTTTTATTTTGCTCGCTCTGAACAAACTCGTGTGAGAACGAGTTTGGCACACGCAAACGAGTTGGCCACCACGCGACGAACCGCCCAACCTTCCGCAATGAACTACAGTATATTTACAAAGGGGGGGTCAGACGCGGTGAGCTTGGCACGGTTTCTTCACTAGTTATTGAAGAAGCAGTGACAGGACTGCGTCTTTGGTTTGTATCACTCGTTTCTACCAAGTATTGACGCATACCCGCTTCAGCAACTGCAAAAGAGGGTTTTCGGCGCCGTGGCGCACACACTCTGCCTGAGACGCCCGTTCATCTGCATTGAACTAGAGACCTTCGGGTGTGTGTCAGGACTCACCGCGGTGCCCGAAACTAGGTCGCCGCGCTGGCAAGTGGGTTCACCGCGGCGGTTACATGCTTTAACTTGTTTGCATGTTTGAACATGTCTACCCGTTTGGGCATGTTCACGGCAGATGGAAGATGAAGCAAAGAGAGAACGCTCCAAGCAAACTGCGATAGGGTCATATTGATCTGAAGTTGGCAAAATGCCAGGTCAGGACTCACCACCGCGCCACGCGAACAGGTCGCCGCGCGCGGTGACCTAGTTTCGAGCGCGGCGGGGAAACTGAAACTGAAATGGTTTCATGAGGTGCTAAATTTTGAAAGTGTGAACTCGAATCGATGGCTCAGCTGTGACGAAATAGATTTTGCCGGCCAGAACGTAGCAAGCTAAAGCTGAAAAAGTGTTAAACAATGTGTTCATGAGGCTTTTCTTATACAAAGTCAACATTTGTGAAAATATTTCTTCTCAACGGGAGTGGAACTGAGCAGTTTCCCGTGAAACGTGAAGTGCGGGTTCAGGTCTCGCCTGCGGACCATTTCCCCTTTCTGGATCAGGTAAATGATCGGTGTAAATCAGAGTAGGGTGTTAACTTCTCCTTCTCACTGATTGAGACCTGCCTATATGCGTGATTGAATGGGGGGGGGGGGGGGGAGTTGAATACTCTATGTTGGCTTACGTTGCAGCCCATTTGGACATTTCTGATACAGAAGTTGGTATGACGTTGTCTAGTGCAGCCCAGGGCACGCTATCGTTGTGATAATCACAACGGGGGAGGGTCGTTTGAGAAAATTTGAAAATTTTTGACAGTGGATTTCTCCTGTTTACGGCACGCTATGAAGGGGGGGGGGAGTCATTATATTTGTTCGTTGGGGGGGTTCTTCGAGGGGAAATTGGGAGAAAAAACGTTCCCGGTTGGTGGCTTTTTGCGGTTTTTCCCGTTTCACTGGTATACCCCCGCATAGTTGGCGGCACTGCCAAAGATTTATACAACTGCTATTTCCGATAGTTGAAGATAGTAGTTAGTTCCTGACGACCTCCCCGCCCTCCCCCCCCCCCTGCCTCGAAGCCGAGTAAAACTTCGGGACGAAACAACTAGAACATTCAATCGGGAAACGCCGGAAAAATGGTGAAGATAAGAAAATCTAGAAAAGTGGTAGGCAGGATGGAGAGGGAGGGCGTCGTGTCAGAGGTTGGAATTAGGAGGGGGTCGCATTTTGCCGGAATTTATCGTGCCGGGGTGCAGCCCACACTACCTTCCTGAAAGTGGCTTCGATTCTTATAAGTAATCGCGGAATGTGCCTTCAGTATAATATGGTACTCTCCCGGGCCATTAGAATCTAAATGTTGTCTGACAGATAGGCACAAATTGCAAAAGTTGCAGAAAATGGGCCAAATTAGCGAAATTTTTCTTCGAAGTAATAGATTATTCCTTCATCATTCCGTCAGAGCGAGGCTCTCGCAAAGGTAGCTACCCCGTCATGGTTCAGGCAGAACGAGGTTGCTGATCGGGGCGCTCTGGAAAACAATATTCTTCGTTTCCTATTACGATGACTGTTCTCTGACGTCGCAAGTCGCGCTCCTGGAGCTATCAGAGGAATGCTGGGTTATGGGCAAAAGCCGTGGCCCCAGGCGGGACTCGAACCTGCACCTCACGCTTTCTTGGCGAAAATGCTAACTGTTACGTCACCGGGGCCGCTCTTACCTTCTCAGCTCCTCGGCTTTTTATGCCAGTTATCATTAAACAGCTTCCACTCGAGAACAAAATAATAAATAACAAAATTGTAAGAGCGCCTGCGGGCCGTCCATGGCTACAGGTAACAAGAACGGCTGACTGACTTACCATGTTAAACAAAAGAGTGCTGTAAGGCTCGGACATAAAAAGCCGTGAAGCTTAGAGGGTAAGAGCGGTTCTCGTGGGCGTAAAAGAGGGCCCTCGTGAAGTGCTGGCTCGATTTCCATCTGGGTTCAGGCTTTTGCCCAGAACTCAGCTTTCCTTTGATGTGCTGCCGCCATGATGTCGCTTAAAGACACATGGTACGCTTCAAACAGCATTGAGGGTGTATGAGACTAACTAGCCCAGCTGTCCCAGATGTGTCGTGGTCCCCCTCTCGAAACCCCAATGCCAGGGAATGGAGAATACAGCGACCGTGCGAAGCTTATTCCTTGCTACTCCGCCCAAAATTCACCGCGCGCGCGGCGAAATGCAACTCGCGCGCGGTGAATTTTGGGCGGAGTAGCAAGGAATAAGCCTTTCCCACGGTCCTGTATCTCCATTCCTGGGCATGTTTGAGCGGGGGGACCACGACACATCGAGCAGCTGGGGGCTGTTAGTCTCATACACTTTCTCAATGTGTCTTGGAGCGTACCATGTGTTTATAGACTAGCACGTTGTCATAAGAGAAGCATTTCAAAATTGAATCTTTCTTTTCTACTTCGTGTTCGGTCATAAGAATGAATGATTGGGCTTTTGAACTTGCTCACCACTTTTCTGAACAGGAATACACCAGCATATTCCCTTGTCAAAATTCCAGTTTCAGGCACCATTTGAGGCTGTGTGAGGGGTGGCAAGAAGATGTCTGAAGAAGAGCATGGAGATGCTGACATGAGATAGAAGTTATTTTTCTGCATTTCTGCGGCACACTGGATAGGTAAATATAAGTTTCAATTTCATTTTCAAGCTCAGATTAGGAAGCAAATGTCCGTGACAGGCAGCCTGGGAGAGTTAAAAAAGACACGACCCAGCATCTCTGATCTACACAACCGTGATGCTGATACTTTTCAGCTTCAATTCGGCTCTCTGTGTCGTCTAAGCCTCGACCAAATGGGATCTCCGGTAGAATGTCACTGCTCACGAAGAAAAAATAAGCGATTTTTTTAGGTTGAAGGAAAGCGATCCCGAGTTCTACAAATTTCTTCAAGAACAAGATGCTGATCTTCTTGAATTCCATGCTTCCGACGAGGAGGACGAGGAGACTGAGGATCACTTGACTGGAGAAGATGAAGATTTTTTGGAAGGAAAGAATGAACAGCGGCAAGGTGACATTTTTCCTGGGCATTTTTTATAAATTCCGCTATATACTCAAGCCAGTTCAGTTTCCACTGATACAACGGAGCGTGTGCCCAAGGCGAAAAAGGACAGTAGCGGACGATTGATTTTCGATGGTCGAATGCTAGACTATTTACAAAGTGTGCTTGATCCAGAAGACCCGGTAGGGCGCTGACGTTTTTATGTCCCCACTCGATGGGTATGCAAAACAAGAATTCCAGAAGCATCGCATCCAAGTGGAGGATGTACGATTTGCTGTTGAGGCGTTTAATGCGTGTGTTTCTCGGCGCTCGGTGCTGACATTGGACTTACCAACCAGTATTATTCATTAACGAGCAGGTGCTGACACTTTTATTTTGGGCTGTTGAATCGGATAGAAATATTGAAGAGAAGCTGGAGTCTGTGAACTCACAACGATGTGGGCGGTTCGGTGACCGGGGGGGGGGCATTTCAGCATTTCACGCTTTCAGTGCTTCCCATCAATGTGTCGACCCATCTAGAGAGCTGTTTCATGCCCTCACAAGTTGACAGCTTTCATCAGTGTGATACTTGTAAACCGGAACGAGTGAAGTAGCGAAAGTGCAAAATGCCCTCTCCCGTGTCGCCGAACTGCGCCTTATGATGTGATGTCGTGATTACTACTCTATCAGGGCACGTCGTACGCTGGGAAATCCCCAACGAGGGTTGTTTTGGTCGCGCTCCGCTGGGAGGTCCATCTTTGACGGCAAGGAAAAAATTCTTGATAAGTGATTGTTTCTGTTTCACGCGCGCTATCCATGTTGTTGGAAAACTTCCAATGAGGGAGGAATCATATTAGCTGGTCGCTTTTAGAGGGGGTCGCTTTTTTCCCGTTTCGTATGTAGTATATCCCTCCTGGTGGCGCAGAAATCGTACACAATTACTACAAATACCACTTTTAAGTTCCGACCGTTCCGAGTGTTTAATTCAATAGGTCCTTGGTGGCGACCCCCTTCCCTCCCTCATAGGAGCTGCTCCTCTCTTGTTCGTCACTCTCCTGGCAAACTGGAGAATTCTCTCAACAAGCAAGAAAGCTTCTAGGAGTGGGGGGGGGCGCCGGACGATAGGTCTGTCCTGTCATCCACTGATTCAGTGGGAAACAGTTCCTGCCGAAAGGTCTAGAGTGGAACTAATATACTTTTCGCCAGAATTGATTTTCTAGAGTGGGACTGCCATTCTTCCTAATTTTGTTGATTGGGAAGACCAGATTCTCTGAAGCAAGCTCTCGTGACCATGCTGATGCTGTGTAGAGCTTTATATTATGACCAGTCGAATCGGGCCGGCCCTTCGCCCGTCAGCAGGGCGTCTCCTCCGCGTGTGAAAGTGCGTCGCCGGCTGAGAAGTTTTACGCATGAAAGGAGGGCCAGTCGGATCGGCCGGCTTCACCGGAACCGAGCTACGAATTTTTGAATGTTTTGTGGCAAGCACCGCCCACCTATGGAACACCCCCCATAATGGGTATGGCTCACTCATTTCGTCCATCAACTGATTGCCTCTCACTTGCCACATTTCCCACTCTTCGGGCTCTTTTGGAACCGATTTAAATACGAATTTTTGAATTATGTAGCTCACAACTGAGCGCACGCCCCACAGTGGGCGCGGGCTTAGCCTGGCTTACGTATGTTGCGTACATTTTGGCCCATGCCCTACCCATCCCAACCTTGACCCGCCACCCTGAACTTGGCCTCGTTAACGGGATAGCGCACTTGCCGCTTTCCGGGCAAGTGCGCTATCCGTAACGCCACCAAGGCCGCTTCTGCCCTCTCGTTAGATATCGGCAATGAACAGCGAGGCCGAAGGCTTTACAAATTTCTGAAGTTTTATGTTATGATAACTGCTGTTTTACTTCGCAGTTCGCGCTTCAGAATCATTTTCAGGACGCTTTTACGCTGTATAGAGCGTTCGGGAAATGCTGAAGCGTACAGAATATGTTGTAGAAAAAAGGTTCCCGATCCAGCGATAGCACTCTGACTTGCAGGGTGTTTTCTACGAGACGGTTCGACTGTGTTTCGAGAAGCTCGGAGATGCTTTTACCACTCTGATTACCGGATCGGTGAGTCTTAGTCGCCATTAACTTCGCCATTACTACATGAGCAAATTTTCTGAGTTTTTTTTCTTCGAAGAAAAAAAAATTTTAACTTCCCTAGAGATTAACTCCAATGAAATGTGATGTGGTTTGAAACGAATTGTTTTCATTTAGATCTTAGATCGCTTCTGATAACGTCATCTCACTGATCTTCTCTTTCAGCTTCCGTTTTGTTTAGCGTCTCCGTTTCAGGTACATGTGAAAGTAGAGGACCAGGATTCAGAAGAGGCCAAACATCTGAAATTGAAACATATCAAGAAGTATCAGACTCCGTTAAAACAATATCTTTCCAGCATTTTGAAGGTGGCTTTTATTTTGTATTGATTTGTAGGTCTAGCAAATGACTTTGATGTACCGCGTCAGAAGTAGGGCTATCACTGGGTATCCACATCGACTGAGGAGTCTGTGCGCGCCTGTTTGGGATGGTATGTTACTGTTTCCATTATGTGTTAGGTTTCAACCTCGAATCGAATTCCACAGCTGAATGGCTGTACAAACAGTATGTGCTCGGAGTTACAGGTCTAGATTTCATTGAAGCAACCAGGACAGTCACAGTGTCATTTTTCATCCATATTTATTGATGAGGATAACTCCGTTCAACTACCTACAGTGAGTGATGTACTGGCAAGTGGCACATTCAGTAGATTCAGTACGCGCACAGTCCAAGGATCAAACCCCGGGACTGACTCTCAAACCAGGGCCAAACAAGCCTTTTATCTCCTTGGGATGCTACTGGTCTTATGGTGAGAGGATAAGGAACGCTGTCTTATACATCGGCTGGCCTCAGCACGCCGTTGTGCAGGCCACATCGCATTCAATAAGCCGGTGCGATTTTGAATGGAAGAAATATGCATCCCAAAAGGATTGATCAACAGCGTAGTCTTTATCTTTTTATACCTGATTTTATTCCTTTCTAGTTTGCTAACGAGGTTCAAACTCCTGACGTCATTACTTCAACGCTCAAAGCGATACGACGAATGGTAGATCTCTTCGCTCATTTCAAGAAAATTACAAAAAGTTTGTTCAAGGTTCGTATCATAGATATCTAAATAGCTTCATATGTTGAGCCTTTCACGCAGCACATTTTGGTAATTGTAGTTTGTTATGAAGCTGTGGGAGGGCGAATGTTGTATTGCGCTTCGCGTCTATTTAAGCCAATAATTGCAGGTTTTAGTTCGAATATGGTCTAGAAAAACGTTGGACTGCCGTGTAGGAGCGTACGTGTGCATGATGCAGCTTGTGAAATCTCATCCAGAACATTTCGTCAGCTTATATAAGGTAGACCTACATGCTTGCCTAGATGCTAAATTCGATACTTTTTCTTCTTCAGAGCTGTTATCTTGGTTTTGTTACAAATTCCCGTGACGTCACAGCTGAGACCTGGCCTCTTCTTCATTTTATGCACAGGTTAGCTTAAGCTTTGTTGCATTTGAGAGCGGTTCCGAAGGAGGCTGCGCTCGCGAAAAATGCAAAATCTCCTATTCAGGTGCTTTTCATCGGGACTGAGCGGACTAGGCAAAAAGGGCTAAGTTTCGCCGTCGCTTTTTTTGGATGCACCGCGCACATTCATACTGCACACTCAAGAATGAGATGTATGGTTAATTGTAAATTGAATATGGCCTTATGCAAGTAACTTGCGAGAAGGGCTATGTACAAGTCAGTGTTGCTATCCTCACTTGCTTCAAGTCAATCTACTTGACCATGGAGAGGTAAAGAGTTTCTTTGTCTTAGCGCATGCAGCCCAATCCGAGATATATGACCTCTGCACGCCTCTACACGCACACAAAAAACCTAATGAAGATTAGTTAATCATGCGTGCTTGTCAATTCTGAGGAGATTAAAACATCCAGTAACACATGTCTATAGGTTCTGGAAACTGAAGTATTACACCAAGTTTATGTAGCTAGCGGAAAATTCACTTCTTTTAGTAGTTTTAATAAGCGTGATCATATTTGATGATTATACTTAAGGAGAAAGTATCTTCGTGGTAGATTATTATCAATATGCTATTCTCCCAAAGCAAAACCAGACGGTGTCAAGCCTCTTATTAGCTCGAATGGAATGGGCGTGATAGGTAGGTACACAGAGTCTAGAGGCCCCAGGATAGAAGATGTAAGAGTCGCTTCGGTTCCCTTGAATATGTTAAGAGCGAATGAAACAAGTATAAATCAAGAAGACTACACTTATTGTCAAAATATTGCCCATAGGAGCTACTTTTTGCCTGCATAGGAAGTGCGGTGCAGAGGCCAAGCTTTATTAGCTGCGTTCATACTTATAGCGGGCCAGGTAGCGCCAGCGCTTCCAGCGTACGCCAGCGGCAGTGCCGGGAGAGAGGATGCATATCGATCTAGCGTTCCCAGCGTCACCAGCGTAACGCTAGCGTTACGCCAGCGTTACTTCCAGACGTTATTACAGCCGCGTATTATGCATAGCGTTTGCCAGTCAGGCGAGGAGTAAGAAGACTATGGAGAGAGCTGCAGGTAACAAAAACACATCGATTGCGCAGTCTACACTCCGCCCTCAGATCTATTGACTAATAACACAACGACTGCCAGCAGATCTACTATACGGCCACATAAGTCTCATCACTCCCCATAGCCGCTTGCACAACGCCAGCAAAGACGCATATCGTGAAACGCTACGAGAGAAACGCAGTGACGCGTAACGCTAAGAGGTTACGCTAGCGTATTACGCTGGTGACGCTGGGAGCGCTAGATCGATATCATCCTCTCCCCGGCACTGCCGCTGGCGTACGCTGGAAGCGCTACGCTACGCTGCCGCAAAGTATAAACGCAGCCTTACTCGCGCTTCCCACAGGTCACATGTCGGATCGACTCCCACTCAGGCAAGCAAGCCGCCTGTTTTGAGGACCTGTAGAGCCGGTACAAACGACTACGCTCTGGAATGGATGAAAACACTACTTGCTATCATTACGGGTGCGCCACCCGCACGGCAAAGTAAAAATCCCGGAAACACAATATTAAAACATCGCTACTTCTGTTCTAGGCTTGGCGATCGGAAGATGAAACTGAAAGGCACCTTTCCGACAACATGCCTTGATCGTTAGGCATCTCGTTCGGGGCTCCTGTTTTTTTGTCTGCTCTCGGAAACACCGTTACCATACACTGCTGAACTCAAGGACCAAGCAAAGCTTCCTGGGGTTCAAGCCAGTACTGCTACGTTTTCACTCCTCAACATTTCACCCCCTTTTCACAGGCACAATTTCACTGCCTTTTCGATCCAAATTCACCCCTTTTTCAAAACGAAATTCCACCTCACTCAATCCAAATCAACCAAACTTATTAGGCCGCGGCAATCATCACACCAGCAATCACGTCAGCGCACCACTTTGCGAACCCGCCCCGCACGGCGCTTACTTGTCAGCGCAGACATAGCATTTTCAATTTTGTTATCATAACTTCCTTGCTTACATGCGGACTTTTTCTTATTCTTCTTCGCTGTTCCCACAAACACTTTGAGTAACGACCGGGCATTGATACAGGCCGACTCCGCCCATCCTCCAGAGGGTTTGGCAATCTAGGCCCGGTCCCCTTAAGCACGCAATACTTGCTTTTCGCGGAACAATTTTGACATTTTTTCAAAAATTTTGCATTTTAGGGCTGTGTGAAGCTCTGCCCACTGTGAGAGATCCGCACACTTTGAAGAAACCCCGCCCACATTCCAAAAATTGTGCAAATCGGCTCCTAGCCTCAGCTGGCATGCTGGTATTGCTGATCATTCGGAACAAACTTTGCCTGATTTTCTTGTTCCGAGTGATGAACCAGAGCCTAGCAAGAAAGCGAAGACCCTATACAGCCGACTTGCACCATTTTTGAAAAGCGGGCGGGGCTTTTTCAAAGGGGTCGGAGCCTCTAACAGTGGGCGGGGTTCACATAGCAGTCCAAAAATGCAAAAATTTTGAAAGAATATCAAAATTCAGCGGAAAGGAGGTTGGACCAGCTGTGGCCAACGGGCGTAACCGGAGATGTCATACCCTTTGGAGAATAGGCGGAAGTCGCGCCAAAGTCAATTCGCCCAGTCGTTTCCCTCAAAAGTGTTTGTGGGAAACAGCAAAAGATAAGAAAAGTCACATAAGCAGAAGTTATGAAACAAGATTTGAAAATCTATGTCTGCGCTGACAAGTAAGGCGTGGCCGTCAGGGCGGGGCTCGCAGTGGTGTCTGGCGTGATCTGGTTGATGAGTTGTCGCCCGATAGTGTGGGTGCATTATGATTAGGAAAGTCATGAATTTCATTTGGAAGTGAGAGTGAATTTAGTTAGAAAGCGGACCGTGAGTGTTCGGTAAAGTGAGAAAATGCATATACATAAACAATCCGTTGTTTTTGATGATCCCTGTCCCTGGTTCTGCGTGGCCTTTGACGATCAGGGAGGCCTAAGATTCAACCTGCAGATATGCTAAAAGTTGTCATGTGGGAAAAGTACAAGGCCAATCTCTTCATTTTACACTTGAATGCACCCTGCTATTTTAAAATCATAGCAGTCTTCAAATTTAAATATTGCTTTTCGCTAAACCACTCTAATTCAGAACATTTGCTGAATTGACTGTATTACATCCAAACTTGGCCTATCCGTACGCTTTTGTGTATATTCGCCAGATTGCCATCCACTTGAGAAATGCGGTCATTTCAAAGAAGCGAAAGGTACGGCTAACCATCAGAAATGTTTTATACAATCGGATCCAAATGCTGAGCCCTTTTCAGTTTATATTCTAATTTTGTGATATTTTAGGATATGGTACAAACAGTTTACAACTGGCAAATGATGCAGTGTTTGTATCTGTGGACTCGGGTCGTGTCAAAAGCCCATGGTGTTCATGATTGCGAAGCTATTTGTGAACTCACATATCCTCTGACTCAACTTATTCACGGCGTACTGAAGTGAGCACAATTTGAAAATGATTGAACAGCTTCAAAAAAATAGGATTTCAGACTTCCCAGTTAATTCAAAAGTTCAGATTATTCCATTCACTTCGCTACATTCCATTACGTCTGCATTGCATTTCTCTGCTTATCCAATTGCAAGCCAATTGTGGGACCTATGTACCAACACTGGCATTGGCCGTAGAAGTGAGCTTTTCAGTTTCTTCCGTAAAATCTAGACTGACTGAGTGTGATCAATTTCAGCTTCTTGACGATGCTGAGCACATTCTTGCGAAAAAGCCAAAAGCGGTGAAAAATGCAAAAATGGTGGACATGGAATGTATATTAAAGGTATGTTATGTATATTGAGGGAGGGTCAATGATGGCCTCGGTGGCGTAAGGGGCAGCAGATCCGCTCGATAACTCCTTGATAGTTGACGAAATGCAGTACTGCCATGTTAAATTGATTTGATCCTGATGCAAGTGAAGCGCACGTAACCTTCTAGCAAGGAACCAGTGATATTCACTCTAAGCAGCACTTTTTTCTTCGCTATTTTTGGCGGTCGTCCGCGTCCTTTTATCCGAGGTATATTCCGCCGTGGCCTTGGCTTTAGTGAGGTTCTTAGTGAAGTTCTGCCATTCCATTTTGGGAGCGGCAACGCTACGTTCCACTCCATTTAACCGCGTCCAGCCGCAGCCTCATATCAGCATCCTTGTAAAAAAAGATGAAGTGCCTCTCATGGTTGTCTAAACAGTAGCGTTCACTGCTGCAGTCTTCCCATTGAGGTGGCATGGGTTAAAAGCACGTTACGCGATAAACTGAGGCTACAGGGCACATCGTTGTTGGTCCCCAATAGGGGGGTCGTATTTGGTCGCCAGGAGCGCGGTCGGTCGTCGTTTATTTAGGCTGAGGAAAATTTGTTTTGATAGTTGATTGGTTCTCTATGAAACGTTCTGTTAATAAAGGGGAGGGGGGGGGGGGTCGTATATGATCATTTATGTGGGGTGGTATTTACGTTTATTTGCGCCGTTCCTGTGTAGTGGGGCTTGACCTTTGGTGAATTTTTCTGTCACGTGCTATTATACCCTCCCCCCCCCCTCGACGGCTCGATTTCGATCGAGGAGCGACAGAAGAGAGCCGAACGGTAGGGCGAGGAGGTCACGGGGGGGGGGGGAGGAGGGGCGGCGTCCGTACCAAGTCCAAAACAAGGGCCGGCTGTCCTGTACAGAGTCGAAGTAACAATCCCCCCAACCAAATGATGTGCCTGTGAGGCTATACCTCATGAATGTGTCAGATGATCCGGTAGGCGATTGTAGAGGCTGTACTGCATTCGAAACTTGGAAAACTTCGCTCTCAGGCCCAAGTAGGCCCATGCAGGCGTACATTGTTCGTGTCGTCATAATAATGCCGTTGTGCTCTCGCCCGTCAAGTTCTGGTCTCTTTCCGCGCTTCGCAGTGTATCGTCACCTTCTGCATATCACTGTTGATCTTGACCATCTTACTCTCGTCCAACGATCCATGCTTAGGCGACTAGCTCAATGCCCCCCCCCCTCCCTATTTTTGAACTCTATTACCTACGATGTACAGTCGCGGAAAATGCCTTTAAGCAGAAGCGAGATATGGTCGCAACAACTTTTTATTGTGTATTTACAGGTCGGTGCTCCTGTGCTTGAGGAGAACGTCTGGCGCAGTGCTTTATGCGACTACTTGTTCCGGATAACATTACAGGTGAGAGGCTAGCCCAGTGAATGCTGATCGGTCTGACTCCTAAACTACTCAAGGTGTTTCAGGCCGCGCATCTGATCTGTTCTCAGCCGAGCTTTCCTGACGTCATTGTTCCCATAACACACAGGGTCAGTTTTGACGAATAAGCGAAAGTTCCAAGTAATCTATTTATGTAAATCGTAATCTGGTCTGATTTCTAAAATGCAAAATCTTGGCATGAAAGTACTGTTTTCGCACGGTCCTATGCAATTTCCTTGCATACTTTTCGCTATTTTTTGGAACCATCCCCCTGCACCAAGCAGTGGAACCAGCACGGGACAGTCGCAACCTGCTTATTTATGGGTTTTACTCGAGTCATACAGTGTTCAGTGTGTCATGAAAAATGATATCGGAGAGGATGAGCAAAATACCGTCAAGCTGTTCGCAAACTGTTCGAGCGCCTCGTTAGCTTCAGTTTAGTGCGGACAACGCCAGCTTGAAGGATCAGTCCGGGCAACGATTAGATTCACGCACCTCTACGTGACTTCCATGAGGGAAACCCACTACGAGGATTTGACCAAGGCACACTTTCAATGATGTGGTTTACTGCGAACCATTGATGCTTTGCCGTCGCTTTGGCGTGGTCGCCGTACCAGCCGCTTGGGTCCATGACAGTGCGATGCAAGCTGTATTGTTTCATGGCTCGTTCGAAACTCAGAGTTCAAATGTATGGAATACTGTCTGCATTTTTTTTCAAATCTCAAAGATCGATTTCGAAAAAAAGGCATCAACTCGCACCAGGGACATGGCCAAGAATTCGCCCATACAGTTGCCGCTCCGGAGCGAGCGGCTTTTGATAGAAACCATGCGGGCTCAT